GCTACTGGAGAAGCTGAGGCAGGAGAATTGCTTGAACCCAGGAGGTGGAGGTTGTAGTGAGCAGAGGTTGTAGTGAGCGGAGGTTGCACCACTGTACTCCAGCCTGGGAGACAAAGTAAGGCACTGCCTCAATTAAAAAATAAAAAAAAAAATCAGGCCAGAGCAGGCATGGTGGTTCATGCCTGTAATTCTAGCACTTTTGGAGGCCAAGGAGGGAAGACTGCTTGAGCCCAGGAGTTCAAGACCAATCTGGGAAATACAGATCTCGTCTCTACAAATTATATATACATATATATATATATAAAATAGCTGGATACGGTGGCATTGCACCTGTAGTCCCAGCTACTTGGGAGGCTGAGGTGGGAGGATCCCTTGAGTCCAGGAGTTTGAGCTGCAGTGTGCCATGATAATGTCATGGCACTCCAGCCTGGATGAGAGTGAGAAATCGTCTCAAAAAAACAAACAGAAAAATAATGTGGCAGCAGTAACAAGACAGACTGGAATAGAGTAGTTGAGAGGCAGAGGGACCAGCTAGAAGGTGACTGCAACATAGTTCCCTATAAAAGTGGGAGGACTCTGAGCTCAGATGGAAATCATAGAAATGGAATTCTTTATATGCTAAGGCAAAATTTTACTTTTTAAAATATATTTCTATATATTTCAAGGTAATTTCATATAAATTAACTGCCCCAATCAAGCCAAGGGACCTCAATCATCTGAGAGGCTATAGATGCCTGTAAGAAGAGTTACTGCATTCCAAACTTTCCACACAAAAAGAGTTATCTGAGGCATAATCATATACCAATTCAAAGGGTAGTGTTCATCTTCCAAAAGACAAAACCCAGTTACTATCAGCCCTTGAAGGTTCTTGTAATTTCTACATTAGCATTTAACAATGTTCTTGGGAAGTGACAAACAATCATGTTTTGAGGACAAATATTTTTTGCATTTTTTTTTTCTTTCCATCATCTTTATCAGTGCAGATATTTGCATAAAAACAGGATCACTGGTCCTTGGGGATTCATCAATTCCTACTGCTTATTTTTCATCCATGTCATCCTCTCAATCAATTAATGCAGGAAAGAGGATTTAGACATTGAAACACCAGATTAGGGTGTCAAGTAAAAGCCAACCGCTAGAGTAGATGAATAATCTGTAAAGACAAAAAAAATCTTGTTTTTATGCAAATACACTACACACAATAAAACAAAGAGAGACTGTATCTAAGAAGTTCAATACACATCAATGTTATTGTTTCTAATTCTAAATTTTAAAACTATTTCATGTCAGCTAAATTCACAATGGTCAAGGAAAATGGCAATGAGTTGCAAAGCACTGCTACAGAAACTGAAATAACACCAAATTTTGAGCTAGAAGATAATTTTGAAAAATCTCAGCTATGCTCATGGGGCTCATTTGGCAGAAACAAGCATTTCTCTTGTACGGTTCTGGTTTAGTGCTGAAGGTGGCTGAATTAAATGACTTCAAATCCCCACCCCCAAAGCCTTAAGTTTTTAGAAATACAAACAGCAATAATAATGGCTTTAACTGTGTAGATTTTTAAAAAATAACAAACGCCACACCAAGTTTTTGCTTCTGTTGAAAGCCATTAAAATAAACTTTACTGATGCTTAGGGAACAAACTCATTATTCTGAAAAATAATAAAGAAAGAAAAAGAATCATTTAGCCCGTCATGCCAGCAGGAGCAGTTTTCAAGGTAACCAAATAGTTGATAAGATAAAGTCCTTCTTAGAAAAATTCTAGCCAATAAGAAAAATGACAGAATATTGCTACCTTGCAACCTATAACGAAATAGTAAATCTAGACTATGATCAAAGCCTGCTACTCTAGGTATAAGACTGATAAAGAATATTACAATGAATAAATCTGATTGTCATAGTTCCACCTGCATTTTATTTCCCTCTCTCATTTGTTAAAACTAGTCATTTGCTCTGTAGATTTTTCAAATTCTGGGTTTTGTTTATTACATCCCTGTGGTAGAGCTTAACATGTTCGCCCATCCCTTTTTATTTCCTGATAGTTAGATGCAGAAACCAACAACTATTAATCTTAACATCACAAAAAGAAAGACCAAAAAAAAAAAAAAAAAAAAAAAAAAAAAAAAAAAAAAAAAAAAAAAAGCCTATATCTGTGTAAGTTTCTAGATCTAACTATCAGGAAATAAAAAGGACAGGTAAACATGTTAAGCCCCACCACAAAGCTGTAATCAACACAACCCAGAATTTTGAAAAATCTACAGAACAAATGAGTAGGTTTAACAAATAGTCGGGAAATAAAGTGCAGGTGGCGCTATGACAGACTAAAGATTTCAGAGACATACCAAATACAGTAAGTATATGAACCTTATTTAGACCCAAACTCAAACAAATGAACTGTATAAAGACATTTATGAGTCAACTAGAGAAATCTAAACCCTAATTGGCTATTTTATGATATTAAACAAGTTTGTTAAAAATTTTTATGCGCAATAATGAAACTATGGTTATATTTTTTAAAAAATAACAGTAGCTGGGTAAATTTTTATGCACAATAATGAAACTAAGGTTATATTTTTTAAAAAATAACAGTAGCTGTGTACAGTGCTATGTGCCTGTAGTCCCAGCTACTCAGGAAGCTGAGGTGCGATGATCGCTTGAGCCCAGGAACTCAAGTCCAGCCTAGGCAACATAGAAAAACCCCCGTCTCTTAACAACAACAAAAAAAAAACTTACATTTTGTGCCAGTGTTCCTGAAGGGAAAAAAAAAAAACCAAAAAAACCAGGCCAGGTACAGGGCTCATGCTTGTAATCCCAGCACTCTGAGAGGCCAAAGTGGACATATTATTTGAGGTAAGGAGTTTTGAGACCAGCTTGGCCACCATGGTGAAACCCCATCTCTACTAAAAATACAAACATCAGCCAGATATGGTGGTGCACACCAACAGTCCCAGCTACTTGAGAGGCTGAAGGAGGAAAATCGCTTGAACCCAGGAGATGGAGGTTGCCGTGTGCTGAGATCATGCCACTGAACTCTAGCCTGGGTCACAGAGAGAGACTCCAAAAAACAAAAAAAGAAAGAGTCTCTGTCTTCTGAAAATGCATACAAAGTTACTCGATGATGGGGTAATATGATGCCTGGAATTTGCTTTAAAGTAGCTATAGGAGTAAAACAAGATTGCCTATATGTTGATTATTGATGCTGGGCCATGGGTCATTATTCCGTTCACTCTACTTTGGTATAAATATTAAAAAGCAGGAAAAAATACTTCATTACCTTTCTCAGTAGGAAAGCAGAAAAAAAGAAACTTTAATTAGAAGGACCATAATTTCAGGTACAACTATAGATAATACTGCTGACAAATCTATTTGGGAATATAGCATCTTCTTGATACAACAAGCGTAAGATTTACTTCATTGAAAAACACTGACGCAAAGAGATAAAGACTTGATCTTACAGCATTTATTACCCAAAGCTAGAAACAAAACCAAGGAACAAAATCAACTATGAAAGTCTCACATTCATTAATTTACTAATCACAGATTTGCCTTTTCATTATAAATCAAGAAGGTCCATGACATACATGGTAACTAGTAATTCTGCCAAGGTATAAACTTTAATCATAAGAAATAAATTACTGGTATATAGAGAAGAGTTAGGTACTAATGAGTGAACTTAGCAGACCAGCTAACAACCATATCTCGAAGCAGTTTGCTGTTCTCTATTTCTTGATTCCATAATCAATTCAAAAATGTTTTCTTGGTAAAAGAAAGCCAACTGCTGAGACAGTAACAGAAATAAAGGATAAAGAGGTCTAAGAAAACGGCCAGGCGCAGACACAGTGGCTCATGCCTGTAATCCCAGCACTTTGGGAGGCCAAGCTGGGTGGATCACGAGGTCAGGAGATTGAGACCATCCTGGCTAACACTGTAAAACCCCATCACTATGAAAAATACCAAAAATTAGCTGGGCGTGGTGACACATGCCAAGTCCCAGCTACTCAGGAAGCCAAGGCAGGAGAATCGCTTAAACTCAGGAGGCAGAGGTTGTAGGTGAGTCAAGGTCGCGCCACTGCACTCCAGCCTGGGTGACAGAACAAGACTCTATCTCAAAAAAAAAAAAAAAAAAAAAAAAAGAGGCCTAAGGGAGTGACAACTGTTAGTTGAAAATTAGAAATTTTACATTAATTTTTTTTTTTTGAGATAAGTCTCACTCTATTGCCCAGGCTGGAGTGCAGTAGTGCAATCTTGACTCACTGCAACCTCCACCTCCCAGGTTTAAGCGATTCTCCAGCCTCAACTTCCTGAGTAGCTGGGATTACAGGTGTGTGACACCACACCCAGCTAATTTTTGTATTTTTAGTACATACAGAGTTTCACTATGTTGGCCAGGCTGGTCTTGAGCTCCTGACCTCAAGTGATCCACCCGCCAGGGCCTCCCAAAGTGCTGGGATTTACAGGCATGAGCCACTGCAGCCAGACTTAAATTTGTAAAGTAAAATGTTGGTTGGGCACAGTGGTTCACGCCTATAATTCCAGCACTTAGGAAGGCTGAAATGGGAGGATCACTTAAACCCAGGAGTTCAAGACCAGCCTGGGCAATATGGTGAGACTCTGTCTCTACAGAAAAAATTTAAAATTAAACAGACATGTTGGTACACTTTTGTAGTCCCAGCTACTTGAGAGGCTAAGACAGGAGGATCACTTTAGCCCAGGGGTCAGAGACCAGACTAGGCAACATAGTAAGACTCTGTCTATTTTAAAAAGAGATAATAACCTGAAAGGATTTCAATGTACTTTTACTGTATAAAGAAAAATCATTTGTTACCTAGTAAATCCAGTAATTATTCCACCACACTCCACCATAAAAAGTCAATGAATTACATTGACTTCTTATCTTCAGAATGCTTCTCTTTTCCCTAATATATTTTCTGAATTATAGCTGGAACTCACTGTGGAATACACAGCACGTAACCCTGAACAAATGTGATCGGGGTACTCACACTCATCCAGCCCCAGCTGATAGGCTAGGTTCTGTAGGCCTCGCACCTTCTCCATCAAATTAGCCGTGGTGAGACTCCCCAGTTCTGAAATAGAATCATTTATTTCAACATCATTTCTTTCTACTCTTCTCTAGTAGCAACTCATTTGGGTTGGGAATTCCTGTAATAGAAGTTTTCAAGCTTAATTCCCATTGAATAAATAGAAAGTGGATCCGTAAGTCCTCCCCCAATCTTCTCACATGCGCGTGCACGCACACGCACACACACACACACACACACACACACACACACACACACACAAAACAGGGAATTTTTCCACTACTGCAAAATTCCTCAGAGAGGCTTACTCACTTAATAAGAAAAGAATTAGCATAAAAACAAAATTAGCTGGCCGGGCGCGGTGGCTCACGCCTGTAATCCCAGCACTTTGGGAGGCCGAGGCGGGTGGATCATGAGGTCAAGAGATCGAGACCATCCTGGTTAACACAGTGAAACCCCGTCTCTACTAAAAAACTACAAAAAATTAGCTGGGCATGGTAGCGCGTGCCTGTAATCCCAGCTACTCGGGAGGCTAAGGCAGGAGAATTGCCTGAACCCAGGAGGCGGAGGTTGCGGTGAGCCGAGATTGCGCCATTGCACTCCAGCCTGGGTAACAAGAGCGAAACTCCGTCTCAAAAAAAAAAAAACAAAATTAGCTGAGCACAGTACCACATGCCTGCAGTCCTAGCTACTTGGGAGGCTAAGGCAAGAGAATCACTTGAGCCCAGGAACTCAAGACCAGCCTGGGCAATATACCTCACCTGTACAAAAATAATTCAAAAATTCAGCCAGGCATGGTGGCTCACGCCTGTAATCCCAGCACTTTGGGAGGCCAAGGCAGGTGGACTCCTGAGGTTAGGGGTTCGAGATCAGCTTGGGCAACCTAGTGAAACCCTGTCTCTACTAAAAATACAAAAATTAGCTGGGCGTGGTGGCAGGTACCTGTAGTCCCAGGTACTTGGAAAGCTGAAGCAGGAGAATAACTTGAACCCCAGAGACAGAGATTGCAGTGAGCTGAGATTGCACCACTGCACTCCAGCCTGGGAGACAAAGTGAGACTCCGTCTCAGAAAAAAAAAAAAGGCAGGTGCTGTGGCTCGGGCCTGTAATCCCAGCACTTTGGGAGGCCGAGGCAGGCAGATCACAAGGTCAGGAGTTCAAGACCAGACTATTTTGTATTTTAGTAGAGACAGGCGAAACCCCATCTCTATTAAAATACAAAAATTAGATGAGTGTAGTGGCGGGCACCTGAAACCCCAGCTGCTCGGAGGCTGAGGCAGGGGAATCACTTAGACCCAGGAAGTGGAGATTGCAGTGAGCCAAGATTGTGCTGTTGCATTCATTCCAGAATGGGTGACAGAGCAAGACTTCCTCTCAAAAAAAACAAGAAAAAAAAAAAAAAAAGGCTGAATGTGGTGGTGTATGCCTATAGTTCCAGTTACACAGGAGGCTGGGTGGGAGGATCACTTGAGCCCAGGAGATCAAGGCTGCAGTGAGCCATATGGCACCACTCCACTACAGTCTGGATGACAGAGCAAATAAAATAAACAAAGAAAAAACAAAATAACAAACAAAAAAAGTGTTTCATCCTCAGGAAACATTATTTAATGTAAAAATAAAACATTATTTAACATAAAAATAAAATTTAATATAAAAAATAAAACATTATTTAATGTAAAAATAAAAACTATTTAATATAAAAATAAAATAACAAATTAAGTGTTTCACCCCTTCTCAAATAAAAGAAAGAAAAAATAAAATAACAAATTAAGTGTTTCATCCTCAGGAAACATTACTTGTAACATTCATTTGTAATACACCCTTAAAATGTAAAACCCTGTCTTTTGATATAGCATTAAAAAAGCCTTGAAGACAGATCTTATCTGGCAAAAGGGACATTATCTCCACTGTCAATTTTAAGTCCACATTATTTCAACTTACAATAAAGTAGGAACAAAACACTTACTATTCCCTATTTCCCTAAGTTTAGAAAACAAAGACTAAATAAAAATCTAAACCTTCCCTTCAAACCAAATTCCTATTAAAATCTTTCAGTTTACGGCTGGGCGGTGGCTCAGGCCTGTAATCCCAGCACTCTGGGAGGCCAAGGTGGGTGGATCACCTGAGGTCAGGAGTTCAAGACTAGTCTGACCAACTTAGAGAAACCCCATCTCTACTAAAAATACAAAATTAGCCGGGTGTGGTGGTCCATGCCTGTAATCCCAGCTACTTGGGAGGCTGAGGCAGGAGAATCACTTGAACCCAGGAGGCAGAGGTTGCAGTGAGCCAAGATCATGCCACTGCATTCCAGCCTGGGCAACAAGAGTGAAACTCTGTCTCAAAAAAAAAAAATCTTTTAGTTTACTAAGTAAAAAGACAGCATATTGTTGGAGGTTAGGAGCAAGATAGAATTGGTTAGGTCAGATCTCTTTCACCATCTCAGTTACAATTCTGCAATGGCAGTTTCGCTATTGGGTGTTTCTGCGCTTAAGATATCTTGCAGGCCTGGAATTTGATGGATCAGCTGGTATCACCCAGATCAATAAACTGGTTCATCTGATCATGTGGCTCCCACCCAGGAACTGATTCAGTGCGAGAGGACAGCTTTGACTCCCTATGATTTCATCTCTGGGCCAACCAATCAGCACTCCCAACTCACTGTCCCCACAACCCACCAAATTATCCTTAATAATCCTGCTTCCCAAGGCCGGGTGCGGTGGCTCACGTCTATAATCCCAGCACTTTGGGAGGCCGAGGCAGGTGGATCACGAGGTCAAGAGATCGAGACCATCCTGGTCAACAAGGTGAAACCCCGTCTCTACTAAAAATGCAAAAATTAGCTGGGCATGATGGTGCGTGCCTGTAGTCCCAGCTACTTGGGAGGCTGAGGCAGGAGAATTGCCAGAACCCAGGAGGCAGAGGTTGCGGTGAGCCGAGATCGTGCCATTGCACTCCAGTCTGGGCAACAACAGCGAAACTCCGTCTCAAAATTCTCCTGCCTCAGCCTCCCAAGAAATCCTGCTTCCCGAATTCTCGGGGAGGCTGAGTAATAAAAAACTCCAGTCGCCTACAAAAAAAAAAAAAAAAAAAAAAAAGATAATACTTAAAAATTTTCTTTCCTGAATAGTACCCAATTCCTTTTAAGACACAGGTCAGTTTGCATAGAACATAATGCTATGATCCCTCACTAAATATTTAAAGTTGCCTTAAGAAATACATGCTGATGAGATATTACATAAATGTCAGTTTGAAACATTAGAAGAATGAACCTGAGATGCCCTTGAGACTTAATTTTTCCATGGCTGGAGGAGGGAATCTGCATTTAAGCATTTCATGAAGAACAATGAATTACTTCTAAAATCAAATAAAGGTGTTTTTTTAATCCCATTTATCATGCCACAGTCATTATCTATACGTAGCATAAGTAGACTTTCTTGATATGTTCGGCTGTTTAAATACCTCAAGAATCCCAGGTTTTTACCTTAATTTCAGTCTATTACTTCACAATCATCATGAATCTTATCACCAGAAGGATGATAAAATAAATAAAGTAGGGCAAAATCATGGAAAATTAATGTTTTTTAATTTTAATTTCCACTTTGTGGTTGAGTTTCAAATCATTTATCAAGCAACAATATTCACTACTTACAGTATTCTTTATCGAAGAAATTGATGGGATAAAAAAAATTAAAAATAGGTCTTAACCCACGAAGAGGTTGTCATGTAATCGTACTGACAACAATATATAGCAGTAAATTTTAAATAAGGCACTTGTGCTATAATGGAAAGAGACTACACTTAAAAGATCAGAGTTTAGGCTGGGCGTGGTGGCTCATGCCTGTAATCCCAGCACTTTGGGAGACCGAGGCAGGTGGATCACTGGAGATGAGGAGTTCAAGACCAGCCTGGCCAACATGGTGAAACCCTGTTTCTACTAAAAATATGAAAATTAGCTGGGCATGGTGGTGGGCACCTATTAGTCCCAGCTACTCAGGAGGCTGAAGCAAGAGAATCTCTTGAACCTGGGAGGCAGTGGATGCAGTGAGCTGAGATCAGGCCACTGCACTCCAGCCTGGGTGACAGGAGAGAGACTCCATCTCAAAAAAAAAAAAAAACAAAATCAGAGTTTAAATTTTAATATTTTATTTTTATTTTTTTCAGACAGAGTCTTGCTCTGTCACCCAGACTGGAGTGCAGTGGAATGACCTCGGCTCACTGCAACCTTCACCTCCTGGGTTCAAGTGAATTCTCCTGCCTCAGCCTCCAGAGTAGCTGGGATTACAGGAGCCTGCCACCGTGCCTGGTTTTTTGTATTTTTAGTAAAGACGGGGTTTCGTTAGGTTGGTCAGGCTGGCCTCAAACTCCTGACCTTGGGAGATCTGCCCCGCTAGGCCTCCCAAAGTGCTGGGATTATAGGCATGAGCCACTACCCCCAGCCAAATTTTAACTCATTCTATTGTAGTTAACTTATGAACTTTGAGTAACATCATACCCAACTCACAGGACCCATATGATAATTAAATGAAAAAACTTGTTAGAGCTATTTGTTAACTATGTTATACAAATTTAAGTTCACATTAGAAGAATTTAGCAGCCCCAGAAGAACTCACTATGACTAAGTCTTGAATTGGCAGGATTTCTACACATGGAAACGGTAGAGAAAGGCATTGCAGACATGAAAAACTACAAATAAGGAGGGTTAAATGAGAAGTCTGAAGCCAAAAATACTTGTAAGGAAATAGAAAAAAAAAAAATGGAGAAGCAGTTTATGGAAAAACATAAATAACCAGTTAAAGTGATCCACCAGCATCACTTACCTTTCAACATGTCGATGTCATCACGTTCTATCTCAGCCATCCATTTGGGTGGAGAACTAGTAATAGGCTGTCAAAAATATATATATATCCATTATATATAAGATACATTAAAAAGTGTGAAGAGATCCTACTATTTTTTTTTTAGATGGAGTCTCACTCTGTTGCCCAAGTTGGAGTGCAATGGCACAATCTTGGCTCACTGCAACCTCTGCCTTTCAGGTTCAAGCAGTTCTCCTGCCTCAGCCTCCCAAGTAGCTGGGACTACAGGCATATGCCACCATTCCCAGCTAATTTTTTTGTATCTTTGGTAGAAACAGGTTTCACCGTGTTAGCCAGGATGGTCTCAATCTCCTGACCTCATGATCCACCCTCCTCGACCTCCCAAAGTGCTGGGATTACAGGTGTGAACCACCATACCTGCCCAAGACCTTATTATTCTTATAAGAAATGTACCCTGGGCCAGATGTGGTGGCTGCCAAGGTGAGCAGATTACTTGAGGTCAGGAGTCAGGAGTTTGAAACCAGCCTGGCCAACATGGGGAAACCCTGTCTCTACTAAAAATGCAAAAAAAAAAAAAAAAAAAAAAAAAAGCTAAGTGCAGTGGCACACACCTGTAATGGATCCTAGCTACCTGGGAGGTTGAGGCACCAGAATTGCCTGAACCTCTTCAACATGGGAGGTAGAGGTTGCAGTGAACCAAGATTGTGCCACTGTACTCCAGTCTGGGTGAGAGTATTACTCTATTTCAAGAAAAAAAAAAAAAAAGAAGACGAAGAAGAAGAAATGTAGCTTGTCACATAGTCTTCAAGTTGTTTGAAAATACTGGCAGATTACAATTTCAAAAATCTGGATTTCTCCAGGTTTAGATATGGCCGACAAATAGTTACTGTAAAAAAATATGGTTCATCTTTAAAGTCAGTCTCAGGGAAATTATTGTGGAAGAATAAGTATGACCACTATTACTGATTTATGCCTAACAAGTTAGCATAGCAATGAAAGAAATTACTTGAAATTCAGTTCTGGTGAAAGCCTCCAATTCAAATATTTGAAACACTAATCAGTAAGTAACATTCTATGGCATAGGAGAAGATTCAAAGATGAATCAAGAATGAGAAAATCCTCATTTCAGTGAGAGAAGTCTGGAGTGGTCATCACTAGGAATTTCACAATTTTATTGTAGAGGTTTTAGAAAACTTCAGAATTTTACAATTTTTCATTTATGAAAGTGAACTTAGAACTATGAAAGAGGCTGGGCGCGGTGGCTCAAGCCTGTAATCCCAGCACTTTGGGAGGCCGAGGCGGGTGGATCACAAGGTCAAGAGATCAAGACCATCCTGGTCAACATGGTGAAACCCCGTCTCTACTAAAACTACAAAAAATTAGCTGGGCACGGTGGCGCGTGCCTGTAGTCCCAGCTACTCAGGAGGCTGAGGCAGGAGAATTGCCTGAACCCAGGAGGCGGAGGTTGCGGTGAGCCGAGATCGCGCCATTGCACTCCAGCCTGGGTAACAAGAGCGAAACTCCGTCTCAAAAAAAAAAAAAAAAAAAAAGAACTATGAAAGAAAGCCCATTCTTAGAATAACTTTGGGTCAGCAGTTTAATGCTAGTTGCACACCAGAATCACCTATGTAACTTTTAAAAATATAAATGCCAGGCCAGGCATGGTGGCTCACACCCGCGATCTCAGCACTTTGGGGATCACCGGATGTCAGGAGTTCGAGACCAGCCTGGCCAGCATGGTAAAACCCCGTCTCTACTAAAGATACAAAAAATTAGCCAGGCGTGGTGGCATGCTCCTGTAATCCCAGCTACTTGGCAGGCTGAGCTGAGGCAGGAGAATTATTTGAACCAGGGAGGCAGAGGTTGCAGTGAGCCAAGATCATGCCATTGCACTCCAGCCTGGGTGACGGGACAACACTCTGTCTCAGAAAAAAAATAATGTTGCAGTGAGCCGAGATTGCACCACTGCACTCCAAGCTAGGCGATGAGTGAGACTCTGTCATAAATAGAAAAAAAATAGAAAAAATATATATACGTATTTTTTTTTTTTTTCTGAGGCAGAGT